GTTCTGTTCCCTGACTTACTCTGTATCATTGATAAACTACTGTAACAAAACCATCCTTCATAGCTTAATGTTCTGTTCCCTGACTTACTCTGTATCATTGATCAAACTACTGTAACAAAACCATCCTTCATAGCTTAATGTTCTGTTCCATAACTTGCTCTGTATCGTTGATCAAACTACTGTAACAAAATCATCCTTCATAGCTTAACGTCCTGTTCAATTAAGGCAAAAATATTTAAGGATCTTTAAAGTACTTTCAAGGATTTACTTAATAGCCTAACATCATAAAGAAAAATGCTCCCCAGTGGATCAGCGGTAAGTCTGAAGGCTTGTAAGAGTTGGCGGTGAGTGGTGTAGCCTAGCTGCATTCCTTCTAAGCTTATCGCTTCAACATTAGAGATGGCAAGCGTAAGTAACCCTCGAGTAGATCTGCGCGAAATTCAGCGAACTTTGTATATTTCAGCTTAGGTTTGAAAGCAACTCACAGTGATTGACAATTTTTCTATAAGAAAAGGAGCTACCAATAGTCGGCAAAATCAAATATACATCCGAATAAAATACAGCCTTCTCTATAATTGTGAAAGGCTGAATAGGCTTAAAAATTCATTAAAAAAACAAATTCTCTGGTCATTTCTAGGCTGTTAGCAAACTAAACAAGCTATGTTTATAATGCAAAAGTGTTCAAATCATAATAGTTTAGAGACTGCAGATCGTTTAGATATACTCGTTAAGAATAAGTTACATCCTCTGAAGGACTTGATATATAGTGAATAATATGAATGACTCACAAATTGTTTCGCTTTATCTATAATTACTGTTATAGCAGGGTAAAACTAACGTTTAACAAGGTGTGACTTACTAATCACTTCGAAAAAATCTTGTTCAAGCGTTAAAGTGATTCAATCGAGTAAAGTTTCTTGGAAGAGGAAATCATTGACAACGTTTTAAGTTTTTTGTTGTAACGTAATGATTTTATAGTGTTTCAATTACAACTGTGTTGTTATTTTCCCCAACATAAATTCAGTTTCACTTCGCTAATTCATAATTTAAGTACAACATTTATTGGACTGGTCAGATTAGTTAACAATATATCCTTGTGATAAACGGTGTTAAGATAGAAATTACAGCGCATATAAATTACATTTATTAAACTAATCATTACAAGACAATGTAATTTACAGCGTATATAAAATACATTTATTAAACTAATCATTACAAAACACAATAATTTACAATGCATATAAATTATATATAGGCTGTAAATTACATTGTCTTTTAATGATTAGTTTAATAGATGTTATATATATATTACATTCATTAATTAATCATTAAAAAACACAGTAATCTAAAGTGCATATAATATCCTTAGATTAGTTGTACAAAATAGCGAAACAGGTCACAAAAATCAACGTTAAACTAATCAAGATTCACATAAAAAAAAACAATGGTTTCCGTGTTAGGTAACTTATCATTTAATATTTCTTCTTCGTAAATATAAATAGTACTAATTTCCATAAATATTCAATCAAAGGAATTTACATCATAGACAAGCTCAATGGTGATTATTTTAGCCAATTTGAGACATTTTGAGTTAAACGTAAACTACTCAAAACTGTAATGCCATACAAAAAGGAAGATTTTATTTTTTTATTACTGAACCTAAGCCACGGTTCTCGTAGAATTGTTACGAATAGAGTTAAATTGATCTCAGGCACTATTAGAACCCATGTCTCTCCTTATTGCAATAAAATAACTTCAACCTTTATAAAAGTAGTCGTAAGAGGCCGACAGAGGGCGCTAAGAAACACTCAGTACTATTAACGAATCAACAGAGAGCGTTGGGTATAAACGAATTGGTTGTGGAAGAGCCACACTACTTACAATTTCACTAGAGATTACACTCGTGTGACAAGAAAAATGTAAGAAACAAATATTTCGAGTTTATCATAAAAATATTGGGAAAATAGCATTTTAAGCAACTTACTCTTTACACCAGCGTGATTCAACTCGTGACCCACGAGCCGTATCCGGCCCACAACCGCGTTTATTTGGCCTGAGCCTATTATGAATTACACGTTAAAGTTTAAGTTTGTACATTAGAATATTTTGCTCAAGAGTAAACGTTTTAATTGAAAATTGTCATTTCAGTAAGTCATACAAGTAAAAAGTTACACCATTTTACTTTTGAAATAAATGTGTAATTAATGAAAATATTACCAGGAAGACAATCCGGCCCACAACCCAACTTATCTGGCCTGAACTCATTATGAATTACACGTTAAAATTTAAGTTTGTGCATTAGACTATTTTGCTCAAAAGTAAACGTTTTAATTGTTTCTTTGTTTGTAATTAAGCACAAAGCTACGCAACGGGCTATCTGTGCTTTGCCCACCACGTGTATCGAAACTCTTATTCTAGCAGACATACGGCTGTGCCACTGGGGGGCCGTTTTAATTGAAAAGTGTCATTTCAGTAAGTCATACAAGTAAAAAGTTACACCATTTTACTTTTGAAATAAATGTGTAATTAATGAAAATATTACCAGGAAGACAATCCGGCCCACAACCCAACTTATCTGGCCTGAACTCATTATGAATTACACGTTAAAGTTTAAGTTTGTACATTAGAATATTTTGCTTAAAAGTAAAAGTTTTAATTGAAAAGTGTCAATTCAATAAGTCATACAAGTAAAAAGTTACACCATTTTACTTTTGAAATAAATGTGTCATTAATGAAAATATTACCAGGAAGGTAATCAAACAGAGAATAAAATGTGAAAATACAGCAAAAACAAAGGGAACGTATAATTTAGATTGTTTTACTTGATTTTCATAATGATTCAGAAAAATGCTAAAACTTTTTCTGCTCGGGATAACGAGTGTTGTAATAATAAGGAAAAATAGTTATTATTATGTTAGAATTTACAAGTGTTTGCCTAACGGTCTTAAGGTAAATAATGATGAAAGGAAGTTTTGAAAATGAAAAAAAAAAAACAATCATTTCTTCGTTAATAAAGTATTTGCTGAACGTGGTTATGGCCTAAAAAATCTATGCAAAGCTGTAAAGAAATTGTTGTGTTCTAACTGTCGTCCAGACCGCTATCTGACTCTAGATTATCCAACACGTATTCATACCCCACAAAAATAATCTTGGAAACAATTTTTTTAACTTACATTCGGCAAAAGATCCACGCACTCGGTATAGTTTGTCCAGTTCCCCCAGAGCCACTCGCCATCTTCATTACACACTCTGTAAGCGAATGCAGCTGTAAAAAAGAAAATTGATATACTTTAATCCACAGATATGATGGTATCTTGTTTACTGGGTATTTCAGATTTATAAAAAAATTTTAGCACCGTGTCCATTGAACTATATACAAACTTTCAAGCATTCATTTGTAATTTTACTCTTTGTTAATATGAACATAAAGATTGTAATTCAGTTTATCTTAAACAGTGCGTTACTAATAACAATAACGTTATGTTTGTTTAGAAACTAATGCTAATGATATTTACGGGACATCATTAACAATAGTGATGACAAAACTACACGAAATAATACATGGATTATTCTAGTGCGTAACAACAAACAAGTCACGTATATTTATATTTCACAGCATAACCTTAATGAGGTCTTAATCCATTAGACTTATAAGTTTAAATCCAGAACTAACCTGACAGACTTTTTCACTTTCTGCCAAAATTAAGGAATTTTCTACTACACTTATGAATATGATATTCTAATGCAGGCGATTTCTGTTGCTCAAAAACACTTTGATCTTGAAAACTCAAAAGGTTCATGTCGCCATGTCCGATTATGCTCTCTCTGACGACCGTGCATCTTGACAATAGCACTGCAGCGTAGCTTCCATCGTAAACTGCTACGTCGGTAAGACTATCATGTCCAATGTACGACATTCATCCATAGTAGTTTCCATCAACCGTCTAGTGTAAGAAGACGACGGGTTGCCAGAGCCCTTTTCAACAGTCCGATCGCACAGATATTCACAGGTCTTGCGCCCGGTGAAATTGCCAGTATATCTTCGTATGAAATAAAACAAACACCTTTTTTATTCTCCAGCTGCTTGAAAATGTGGCAGTTGAAAGAGGGTTATGATTGGAAGCTTTATCTTGGTGAACCCATATCCTGTTGGCTTCGTTTTTAGATTATGTTTTAATGATGCCTGGGACACGTGGACAGCTCTTGTCACTGACCTTATATTCGTGGATTCTCACCTGTTACAAAACATCGCACGTTGCTTACTTATCTAGGATACGACTTCTAGCAGGTCTCTTTCTGGATGGTCTTGGTACACCAAAGTGATCTACTTTCCTTTATTTCCAAATGCCAATAAATGTAAGGGATATCCCCGTTTTGAAAATTCTAAATCCCGATCTGAACACATCTTTATGATTTGATTGTATGAATATTTTGCATCGTTAAGGGGCGTTACACACCCTTCCCAAAAGAGATCAGTTTTCGATAGATTCACACTATTTACGAAATGTCAATGTGTTAAAATGTAGTTATGATACATTTCGTTCCGCGGTGACAATCAATCGACTATGGTTGTTAAAATTTGCTAGAATACACTAAATAAATGTTGTAAATCTACAAAATATTAATTCTTAGATGCTTTCGATCAAATAAATTGTTTAAATACAGTTAAAATTATAAGTTTTACTTAAATTGTGAAATTTGATACGCAAATGTGATTTCGACACCAAGAGCTGATCTCCGATCGTTATAGAGTTAACGACAGTCTTGTCGGAGGTACTGAAGTAATGTTAATACGTTATACTATTAGATATAATACGGTAGTACTTTTTTCGTAACCGTGAGTTGTGAGTTTCCGTTGAAGAAATGCGTCATTACATACAAGAAGTCGTCTATTAGACTAAAAAGACCAGCACCAAAACGGTAAGACAAATTGGGTAAGTTTGTCATTGGAAAAAGAACTGAAAATATTTCTTATTAAATTATCCCCTTCCAACGAAAGTCTATCTACTACAAAGAAAAACTAGACAGGAATCAAAAGGTTAGTGAAAGCTGCCACGTTGAAGTTGTTAATGATGGCATTAATAAAGCGGGACCATTTCAGCCAACTCCTGAACCTTTTCCAAGAAATAAGTTCGGACAACGGTAAGGATCATTTCGTTCAGAATGGTACAAAACAAGGTCGTGGCTTCCATATTCTGTTTTTATCACCCTTGCCGAGTGTATGTTGTAGTAAATGATAAGGGGATTATTTGCACAGTAACTGGAATAAATAAATTGAAATCAGCACTAGATTATGAGAAAAGATTTTCAAAACAGCTTGGGATGAGTGAAAAACGAGACAGACAACGGGAGAAACTATTCGATTTTTGTTAAGGTTTACGAAAATTGAGAATGCAGATATGTGCAGAGCACTGGAGAACTGGAGCACTTTCTTCCTTGAAAGGAAGTGCCATTTCGTGGTAAAATGAAGAACTGGGAGTCTCTGTTAAGTAGTTTTATCATTTTGCAAAGAGGCACTAAACTATCTGAAAATGCAAAGAGTGTACCTTTGAATTTCAAGTATACGTTTAAAGACATGCCAAATGATGTAATAGGAACCTTGACCCAAATGGTGCTTTCCAAAAGCAAAGAAAAATACAAAGGTTCTGACTCTCAAGGATGAGAGAGGTATTTAGATGTAGAGGTTGTGTTCCAAAGAAGACAGAAAAAGTATACTACTTAAATACACTGTTAGAATCACCAACTGCATCTTATAGTAGTGCATGCAATTTAAAGAATGCAAAGAGAACCTCCTACAAAGAGGTTTTTGGACATATTCAACTCACTATGTGCTTTTTTACGTTACCACTACATTCATAGAAGGTACAGTGGACCCTCAGTAAAGATATTACTGTATATTCGCTTAACCTGACATTTAGAAGTAACCAAATGCGTCAATGATAGCTATGATGCTCTATAAAATTTACTTCTTTAAGTTTCATGAGATGAATTTACCCTTACGGATCTCTTCACACAAACTTCTGGTGTATTTGCTCAACTTAATAAGCAGAATTTTACTATACTAAGAAATGTTCTACTAATTTACTTGGTTAATTAAAACCAATGAATGCAATGCTTCAATTCTGACCTGCTGATTTATGTATTGCAAATTATGTTTTAAAGTCATCTTTGGAAGTACTAAGAAACCTTCATTACTTCCCACCCACACACACAGACATATATACATCTAATACAGCATTGAAAAAGCACCAGTATATCCATATAGAACCTTAAAACCAGATGTTGTGTGTGGATCTTTTCTCACTTTTTGTCGGTATCAAAAGCTTAGCTACCAAAATCTCACTTGCTATATCACATTTGCCAACACTGTATAGTTTCTGCGGAGGCTTCAAACCGTCAGCATGCATAATTGTGTTGGATTCAAGCACTGAGCATAATAAAGATTTCATTAAATTTGTATTTTTGTCAGAAATTCTTTTTCAATCTCTGTTAATTTCTAATTAAGGGTGTTCAACATTGACCTTTCACTGCGTGATTGAAAGCTCCTTCTTCTTGGAGACAGAACAACTGAATCAACGTGATGTTGACTTGTAGTACTTCTTTTTACAGTGCTTATCTCTTGAACTACAAGTGTCTCAGTGTATGCACGTGCACTTTCGCAAGTGGAGTAGCAAACGATTTATGTGAGAACCCATTTTCTACCCAAACTTGACTACTAATTCTTGTTCAGCTGTCCCTGCTTCATGAAAAAGAAAGAACATGATGGTTTGAGCTCACATAGATGAAATCATTTTCACTCTAAGCATGAAGGACTTTGTGAGAAAGTTTGCAAAATCCAGCCGAATACTGTTTCTGTAAATTTTATGAAAAATTTTAAATTATTTGGATTTGATCATTCTTGTTTTTACATCTTATCGTAGCATTTCATACGTATTTTATATGGTGTTGTTTTTTCTTCGGAGAGAAATTTAAAACATATAGGTTCTTTTTATATATTGTTGATGAAGTCGTATGCATTGCAGGAAATATAAAATGGTGGTATGCGTTCTAAGATGTTTGATTTCAAATACTACGGTTTTCTAAGGTACCAATGAGACTATAAATGCTATGTCGGGATCTTTGTATTTTCAACGTTTCGACTACAAGTCTTCTTCATAATCTCCTGAAGAAAACTTGTAGTCGAAACGTTGAGAATAAAACGATCCTGACATAGCATTTATATCCTCATTGGTACCTTAGTATCCACTTGTCAACATGAATAATACTACGGGTTTCATTTTGCTTTTAAACTGGTGTTTTGCAGCTTTAAATGTTTGCCCTTAATTATGTGAATCACATTTTTTTGATAATTATATTTAAAAATATCTAAAAGAGCTTTATATGAAACTGTATATACCTCTCCAAATGTTAATACTAATAACTAATATTTCCAAACATCATAAGGCATACTTAAAATTCATTTAAAACCTTGTTGGGCATATTGTTCCCCTCCACCAGTAAGGAGGTGGTTAAGGCGCTCGACTTGCAATCTGAGGGTCGCGGGTTCGAATCCTCGTCACACCAAACATGCTTGCCCTTTCAGCTGTGGGGGCGTTATATAGTGACGGTCAATCCCACTATTCGTTGGTAAAATAGTAGCCCAAGAGTTGGCGGTGGGTGGTGATGACTAGCTGCCTTCCCTCTAGTCTTACACTGCTAAATTAGGGACGGCTAGCGACAAACCACCAGTAAGGAAACCTGGAGCCGGGCCTGTTTAAAGCTGGAAAATATTGTGATAATGTTTGTTGAAATGAATAACACTGTACTTGATAACTGCACATAAAGAGATAAATGTGCATGCAGGATGAAAAATCCATGTGTTATTTGAGAAAATAATATTTAAATTGAAGTTATGAGATGTTTACAGTTTTCATTATACTTCTATATTTATTAACAGAAGAAAAAAAACATTTTACAGTCTATTCAGCTTGTCGTTTGCCTGCTTCTCTACTAATTTGTTTAGCGACGTCCAGTCTTCTTGTTGGTAGCATTTATTGATAGAATTATCAGGGAAGAACTTACGCTAATAAAAGGACCATGCGAAGGTCTCTCAGGGAAGAACTTACGCTAATAAAAGCACCATGCGAAGGTCTCTCAGGGAAGAACTTACGCTAATAAAAAGACCATACGAAGGTCTCCATCATCTCCCAAAACACTGAAGTGAAGATCAAATCCAGGGTGAGCCTGGTACGGAAACTAACTGGTACTACATGTGCAACCCAAGCA